GCAGGCCAAGAGTGCCAGCGACCAGTTGGCGTATAAGAAAGGGGGAGACGCGGAGGGCTGCGTGAGCAGGGTGGGGGCATTATCAGTAGTTGTAAAAGCTTTTACGACGACTTCAAATTTCAGAAAATTAAAAAAAGTTTCCAATTAAAAGATTTTTCTGATAGTTTTACTATCATATTGTGGTTCCTATAGATTTAAGCCAATTTCCTCTTCAATCGTCTTCTAGAAAATGTCTCCTAGAAGGTCACACTTATCTGTTCTTCCTACGATTTTGATATATAAAAGGGATGTATCCAAAAACATTCTAAACAAGTTCCCATGTCACCACTTTTACACGAGTATTGAGATATTTAGAGCATGTTATAATGGAAGCCCACCCTTACCGTGCACTTTAAGCTCATTTATCATGTTTTCTGTCAAAGATATAAAAACGTTGTTCACTGATAAAATGTTTATCATAATATCAGCAACATTTCATCAGTTAACAGATTTTTGATATCATTAATTAGAATCGAGATAGTTTTGCTCAAAGTAGATGATTCAACCCCTAGTGTGATCTCAAAAAACATTTTTCTAGGAAAAAAATTAGAAAAGTTGGCTTAATATGACTGAAATTGGTTCGAAGTAAACTCAGACATGCTCGAAATAGTCAAAAATTGAATTTTAAAAAAGCACAAAATAGACTAAAACCATCCAAAAACTGACCAGAAGCTCTGCAAAAAAATTTGGTCCGGCTTTGGTCCGTTTGTCTCGGATTAGCTTGAAACCGTCAAATTTGAGCTTATATCTCCTTTCATATAAGAATTATCCAATAGATACTGACGGACAAAATGTTTATCATCGAATGAGCAACATTTTATTAGTTGAGGGATTTCTTATATCTCACATAGGAACCTCGAGTAACGGTTTTCGACATTATTTAGGTTTTTTAAAACTTTAAGCTCACTTATCTCGGTTTCCATAAGAGATATCAAAAATTGGCAATTTTATCAGTTAACACAGTTTTGATATCTTTAATGGGACTCGAGATATTTTAGCTTGAAGTAAAAGTACAGTAATCACTGGATTTTTGAGTATAAGGGTCTGAACGAATGTCTTTTAAGCTAGTTATACCGGTAAAACAATTTTCCTAAAACTGAAAAAAATTTTTCAAGAAATTTTAAACTTTTACAATTTCAAAATTGCCTCATCTCTCTCAGCAGTGCTAATACTTCTGACACCATCCGTCTTCACATTGTTATTAGCAGATTCTACGTAGAACATTTTTAGAAGCTAGGAATATTCTTTTTCCTCGAGTATAGGTTGAAAATATGGAAAATATGGCTCACGAGCCAGAAAATAATAACTACCGCATTCAATGGGTGCCTATTATCCTGGCCTCCTCCTATTTTTCTAGCATATAAACGAAAGCCCTTTTAATCTTCTCCCAACTTTTCCCCTTTTTTCTCTTGGGGTGTATGTGTCCGGGATTAACCGGTCTTCTGGAGCATAAGAAGAGGATCATATGTGCTCTCTCACTCCCCTGCTCTTTTTTGTATCTCAAGCTTTCAGTTTAATTAGAATTCGTCAATGTTGGGTGCGTCACACATTTTCACTCCCTTGTTTACTCGAGTGTTTGGAAGTGAACCTAATGAGAGAGAGAGAGAGAGAGAGAGAGAGAGAGAGAGAGAGAGAGAGAGAGAGAGAGAGAAAAGGGAGTGAGGCATACTTGTAACGGGCCGGGCCGGGCTTTTTTCGGAATTTCGGAGGCCCGGCGGGCCCGTTATTTCACTAGTTTCGAAATTTTCAAAAAACACATAAGGGGGGACCCTTATGTGATTTTTTTCGACCAAAAAATTTTTTTTCGAGTTTTTTCGAGTTTTTTCGATCTTTTTTGATCAGACAGACAAACAATCCGAAATACGAAAAAAAAATGGAAAAAATTATATTGAGAGCTCAAAATTTGGCTCAAAAATACAGAATTTTTGACACCGGGCCTTCCGGGCCGGGCCAGGGCCATGAAAATTTCCTCAGGCCCGGCCCGGGCTTTGGCGGGCCGGCCCGGAATTTTACAAGTATGGAGTGAGGGAATAAAGGAACATGTGTCAAGAAATACTGACAGGTCATTTTCTTGTCTATCATATATGTTCCAATTTGACGGCTCTAGGAACTTATGAACATGGATATTTTGAGAATAAGAGGAAAGGTTGGAACTCAAATCTTATGGCAAGAGAGCACTTTGAGCTCAATTATCTCGGTTCCCATTAGAGATATCAAAAAAGTGTTAACTGATAAAATGTTGTTTATTTTATGATAAACATTTTGATTGCTAACCACGTTTTGATATCTCTCAGCAACTGAGATAATTGAGTTCAAAGTTGAATATGCCCATCCTAAGCGAAGGCCACTCTATACGTACACTTTGAGCTCAATTTTCTCAATTCCTATAAGAGATCTCAAAAATGTGTCAACTGATAAAATGCTTATAATTTTATGACCATTTTTTGATATCTTTCACAGGAAGCTAGATAATTAAGCTCAAAGTGCGCGTATAGGTGCTTGTGCCGGGTAGCCCAGCCGGTAGAGCAGCTGCACCCTTAATATTCTGTTCATAAGATCAATTCTTCAAGGGGCTTCAGAATATTAAAGAAGCTTTTTTAGATTCTTTCGAAAAATTAGCAATAATTAGAATACTAGAATGTTCTAGAAAGCTCGTTTCATTAGCTAACACCAGGGAAATGTCTATTTTTGGCATTTTTGAAAAACATAAAATTTCAAAATTTCGTATAAATGTGATTCAATTTAAAGAAAAGAGCAGAACACACTTTTCGAAAATTTCAAGAATCACGATTTTAAGATTCTCAAAATTTTGAAATGAGATTCGAAAATCAGAAAACTCGAATTTCCTCCGCCTTCGGGATTTTCCCATATTCGAAGAAGTACAAAATATAAAATTTGCGTTTTTGGAAAAACAAAAAATTTTCAAGATACCATTATTGCAAATATGCTCTACGGACAATTAATTCTTACCTCTCCAGTGTCCTTTGCTTTTCCGATGCTCTCGGCTTTGGTCGCTTCATTCTTGGGGCGGCACTGGAAAACAATTATTAGGGTTTAGTATACTTGCACTTTGAGCTCAATTATCTCGGATTCTATAAAAGGTATTGAACATTTGTCAACTAATAAATTATTCCTCATTTTATCAACTACATTTTATCAGTTGACAAGTTTTTGATATCTCTGATAGGAAACAAGATAATTGAGCTCAAAATTAGAGCATAGGCTAATTGAAGCCCACCACCCCATACGTACACTTTAAAGGTGGTGTGAAAAATTTTATTGCTTTGTTTTGTGCAGAATTCCATGTAGATCCCCATAAAAATAACTAAAAAATCCAAAAAAATTCCTTCATTGAGAAAAACGGCATCGAAAAGATTTTTGTCAGATTTTTTCATACACCTGGGAGGAAATTAACAAAAACATTTTGAAATCTTTAAAAGACATCTAAGAAAACACTGAAAATCAATAAAAATTCGAATTTCGCGCGCTTTTACCGGCAGTTGGCCTAGAAAACTCACACCTGGCCACTAGGCCACCGGTTCTCACTTTGACTTTTCGATGCCGTTTTTCTCAATGAAGGTATTTTTTTTGAATTATTTCTTTATTTTTATGGGGATCTACTTGGATTTCTGCACAAAACAAAGCAATAAAATTTTTCACCGCACACCACCTTTAAGCTCGATTATCTCAGTTTCTGTAAGAGATATCAAACATTTGTTAACTGATAAAATGTTGGTGATATTATGAAAAAAATTTTATCAGTTGACAGATTTTTGATATCTCTTATAAAAAACGAGAAAATTGAGTTAAAAAAAATAGTATCCTCAAAATAAAAATGTCAAAAAATCACAAACTTTCTAGTCGATCTGCGAAAAGTGCGCATTCTGATCACACCCCACATCTTTTGCTCTCTGATGCCTCTGGCTCCGCCCACTTTCTTCACGTCTTCACGTCACGAAGACAAAGTAGAATAAGGGAGAGAAATGAGGTGAATAAGAAGAAGAATCGAGAAGACGAGTAGCCGGGAAAAATAAAGAAAAACGAGTAGATTTTCTTCTTTTTCGTATCCTGGAAAAATGAAAGAATAACACTAATTGGAGTGGTTGGGAGGGGGAGAAGAAAGAGAGGAAAAAGAGGAAGAGATCTGAAAAAACGTATAGGAAAAAAAAATAACCAAAAAGAAGAAGGATGATATTTGGTGATAAAGGATATTGATAAAAATCCACTGACGCAGGAAAACTAAGAGATAAGAGGATTTCAGAAAAAAAGTAAGGGGTTGTATTGAAAATTGATGATCAGAGGATTAATTTTAAGGATTTTTGGGATTTTTTTCCCGAGGATTGGTATACATGATTTTCTGGGAAATTAAAGATAAACCAACAGACAAAAAGGACGGGGAATCGCATGGGGGGGGGCCTGAAAAATGTGCGCCTAAATGATATAGGTCTACTTTGAGCTCAATTATCTCGGTCCCTATCAGAGATATCAAAAACTTGTCAACTGATAAAATATAGCTGATAATATGATAAATAATTTCTCAGTTGACAAATCGTTGATATCACTTGCAGAAAATGAGATACATAGGCTCACAATGGACGGTTGTGAGAGGGGGGTGTTTACGGTAAGTCTACTTTGACTCTACTTATCTCGGTAACTATGAGAGATATCAGAAATCTGTAATTTATCAAAATATTTATCATAATATCAGCAATATTTTGTCAACTGATACATTTTTGATATCTCTTATAGGAACGGATATAACAAACCCTCAAAGTTGACGGTTTGAGGAGCCTTTATTAGAGCGAACGCGTTAGTCAACTTTGAAGACCTAAAAAAAGTAGACCAGAATTTTTCGATTTTTCTGAGAATTTCAGAGTATATAAAACAAACAAAACAAAAATTGACCTTCATTTTTGTAGTTGACAACTTTTTTGTGAACATTTAATGAAGCGAGATAAGAATATTTTAAAGGGTCATAGCTTTTTTTCAGTGCTAATTTTTGCCCTTTTTGGTTACAAACTTCAGATTTCATCAGAATGAAATCACGCCCAAAGTTTGAAATCACCAAAATGAGTTTCAATTTTTGTTTCATAATTTCTGAGGTTCAGACAAACGAGAAAATTGCAAGTATTTCTACAGTAACCCAATATTGACAATTTTCCACAAAAAATATAATTCGGAACTTCTTTATTGGGAGGCTAAATAAGGGCTTTCTAGTACAAATTCTGAAAATCGAAAGCTCAAACTTTTATAAAACAAAAAAGTGCTTCTCAAAAAAACACACTCGAATTGAAAAAAAAGTGTATGAAATGAGCCGTATGAATTGAATGAAGTTCTATGTATGTTTTTGACACTTAACGGAAAATAAATGCTCTTTGTATTATGAAATGTCTGATGGTATTATAAAATCTTAAAGGTGGGGGGACATGAAAAAAAATAATGTTCTCGAAATTCCGTTCAAAGATGCCCCTCGAGGAGTTGAACTTGTGAAGGCGATGATTGAGGGTGCGGCGCCGCTACCGACTGAGCCACGCGGGCAAAGAGAAAGCGGTCGCCCGATTGCATACATAAAGACGAGGACGACAGCTGTACGCAGAGTGACATTAAGCGTTGTACGCCGTCACGGTAGAATGCATACTCTAGCTACAAAAAAACTACGAAAAATCTCCTGTCCCCCTACCTTTAAATGAAACGATTTCCAAACAGATATTTACACAGAGATATGTACAATACCAGCCGATATGATAAACGAAGATAAAAAACGTATTTTTCAGTTGATTTTTGGCCATTTTCAAATGTCTCGAGCTCGGCTGTCAAGGCTTCGATCACTTTGAAATTTCTAGACGGCTTTAAATAGAGATAGGTTGAAAAATTTGTATTCACAGAATTTTTTGAAGGTTCCTGATTTTCAGCTAATCGCCGATTTCTGAAAGTCATCTATTGTTCACATTTTCAATACAAAAACAGACCAAAAATAGATGTTTCTTGAGTCAGCAAATAGCTGAAAAACTAGGGATTTTTAAAAAATTCTGTGCATGCAAAGTTTTCAATCTAGGTCTGTTTCATGTCATCCTAAGCTTTAAAATTGGTTGGAATCATGGCATCCGAGTTCTTGACTCCTGAAAATGGCCGATCTTATGCACCGGTACAGTAAGACATCGGCAAAAGATAATTTTCACGGCATCTTGAAAAAAAAATTTCAACTAATGATGTTATGTATGTGTACATATGTATTCTGAGAATTTTCAAAAGATAAGAATAATGAAGAAAAGGGGGGTACGACGAATTCGAACGCTTCCAAAATCGAACAGACCTAAAATCGAACATGTGCCAAAACAGAACAAGAGCAGAATAGAACTGTGGGAAATTCGAACTGTGTCGGAGTCGAACTGTCCCTAATTGGAACGCTGTTAGCCATGGGGCGCGCTTGCATTTTTCCTTAAATTAGTGACTTTTTTCTTCAGAAAACTTAAAAATT